TTTTAAGCTGTCATGATGGATGCATGATTGTAGTGCAGGAATCACCTTGATGAAAGGAGGAAGCACCTCTGATGAGAAAGGAAGCTGATGATGGATGCATGATGGGAGTGACGGAAGCACCTTGATGAGAAGAGAGAAGCCCTTGATGAAGGAGGAAGCATCTTAATGAAGACGTGACACTCAAGCATCTGATGAAGCAGGGATAGTATTCTTTGAAGAAGAGAGAAGCATCTTGATGAAGGAGGAAGACACCTTGATGAAGAGAGGAGGTACTTGTTAATGAGAGGAAGCATCTTGATTGGAGAGAGGAAGTATTTGTTGAAGAGAGAAGAACTTCATCTTAATGAAAGAGAGAAGCACTTTGTTGAAGAAGGAAGCACCTTGATTGGAAGAGAGGAAGTACTTGAAGAAGAGAGGAGCGATCTTGGAAGAGAGAGGAAGCACTTTGTTGAAGAGAGACAGCATCTTGATCAAGAGAGGAAGTACTTGAAGAAGAGAGGAAGCACCTTGATAAGAAGGAAGCACTTTTTGAAGAGAGGAAGCATTCTAATGAAGAGAGAAGTACTTTGGTTGAGAGAGGAAGAATCTTGATGAAGAGAGAAGTACGTTTGAATGAAGAGGAGATCTGTAAATGTTGAAGAGAGGGAAGTACTTGTCTGAAAGAGACGGCAAGAGTCTTGATGAAAAGAGGAAGTACTTTGTATGACAGAGAGGAAGCTGCATGATGAGAGAGGAAAAAGTACTTGTTGAGAGAGGAAAACGCATGATGAAGCGAGAAAGCTGCATCTGAGCAAAGAAGAGGAAGTACTTTGACGAAGAGAGGAAGCACCTTTGATGTAAGAGAGGGAGGCTGCCTGATGGATGCAAGATAGGAGTTGAGGAAGCACCTTGATGAAGAGAGGAAGCACCCTTGATGAAGAAGAGGAAGTGGATGATGGATGCATTGATGGAGTGAGGAAGCACCTTGATGAGAGAGGAAGCACCTTGATGGAAGAGAGGAAGGCATCTTAATGAAGAGCAGGTAAGCATCGGTGATGAAGAGAGGATAGTACTTTGAGAAGAGAGGAAGCATCTTGATGAAGAGAGGATAGGACCTTGAATGAAGAGAGGAAGTACTTGTTGTAAGAGAGAAGCACTTGATCGAGAGGAAGTACTTTGTTGAAGAGAGGAAGCATCTTGATGTAAGGAGGAAGCACTTTGAAGAAGAGCTTTGTTGAAGAAGAGGAAGCATGTCTTAATCGAATGAGAGGAAGTACTTTTGAAGAGAGAGGAAGGATCTTGGGAAGAAGAGAGGAAGTCACTTTGTTGAAGAGAGGAACATCTTGATAGAGAGAACTACTTTGTGAGAAGAGAGGAAGCACTGTAGGCTCATGTGGATGCATGAGATGAGGAAGCACCTTTGATATGAAGAGAGGAAGAGCCTTGAATTGAAGAGAAGAAGTCTTTGTTGAAAGGAAAGCATGATAGAGGATACGTTGTAAAGAGGAAGCACTTGATATGCAAGAGAGGAAGTACTTTTGATAGAGATGAGAGAGATACTTATTTGAAGAGTGAGGAGCATTCATGATGAAGAGAGGAAGTACTTGAAGAAGAGAAGCATATATATGAAGAGAGGAAAGCTGATCTTAGAGGGTCTTTAGAGAGGAAGTTCCTTTGAATGAAAGAGGATATGCATTGTGAGAGAGAAGATCGAATCTGAGATGGATGCATGCTGAGATGAGGAAAGCGACCTTGGATGAAGAGAGGAGTATCTTGAAAGAGAGGATGAAGAGAGGAGAAGCACTCTTGTATGAAGAGAGGAAGCATCTTGATCGAGAGAGAAGTACTTTGAAGAGGAAGACGAGAAGGAGAGCTGTTATGGGGAAGCATATTGAAGAGAGAAGTCTGGAGAGAAGCATCTTGTGAAGAGAGGAAGCACGCTTGAATGGAGAGACAAGGAAGAGGAATAACTTTGTTGAGAGAGAACACGTGATGAACAAGGCATACTAGGAGAGCTAATGAACGAGAGGAAGTACTTGTGTTGAAAGAGAGGGAAGCTCATGTAGAGATGAAGCTGCATTGAGAGAGAGACTTGTTTTTGAAAGGAAGGGAGGAAGCCTTGGGATGAAGCGGAAGTATGCTTGATGGCCATAGAGGAGGGAAGACCTTTGATGAGAGAGAAGCACTTTGATGAAGAGAGGAAAGCCTTGATAAGAGGATGCATGATTGATGAGGAGGAAAGCAACTATATGAAGAAAGAGGAAGGCACCTTTGAGAGAAGGATTAATGAAGAGAGGAAGGATCTTATGAAACTTTGAAGAAGAGGAAGAATTCTCTTGATGAAGAGAGGAAGCGAAGGCAAAGACTTTTGTTGAAGAGAGGAAGCATCTTGATGAAGAGAGTTTGTTGAGGAAAGATTTGTTAAAGAAGGAAGAGTTGTGAGAGAGGAAGCACCTTATAAGTATTTTGAGAGAGAGGAAGCACTTGACAAGAAGGAAGCACTTGTGATTGAAGAGAGGATAGCATTTTGATCGACAGAGAGAGAAGTTACTTGAAGAAGAGAGGAAGCTATCTATGTATGAAAGAGGGAGAGAGCACTTGATGAGAGAGGAGTTAGAAGAGGAATTACTTTGTGAAGACGAGGAAGACATCTTTGATGAAGAGAGGAAAGTACGTTGATGAAGAGAGGAAGACTATAAGAGGGGTTACTTTGAAGAGAAAGCACCTTATGAAAGAGAGGACAGTACTTTGTTAGATGAGGAAGAAGTGAGATAGAGAAGGATCACTTTGGAAGAGAGGAATGATACTTGAAGAGAGGAAGCTACCTGAGTCAGAGAGGAAGTACTTTGACTGAAGAGGAAGCACTCTTGATGAAGAGAGGAAGCTCACTTGATGATGCAGAGGCATGAGGAGCCATCTTGATGAGAGAGGAAGTACTTGATAGGAGATTGAGAGAGAGGAAGCATCTGATAAGCAGAAGAATAACTTTGAAGAAGAGAGGAAAGCACTAGAGGAACTCTAGTAGGAGGAGAGCTTATTTTCCACAGGAGAAATTGTGGTAGGGGCTTGACGAGAGGCAGTCTTTGTGCAAGAGAGGCAAGCATCTTGATGAAGAGGAAGCTATCTGTATGAAGAGAGGAAGTACTTGTTGAAAGAAGGAAGCATCTTGATGGAAGAGAGGAAGCACTTATTTGAAAGAAGCACTGAGAGAAGGAAATCTTGATGAAGAGGAGAAGTACTTTTTTGAGAAGAGATGAAGCTGATGAAGAGCGAAGACTGTATGAGAGAGAAGCACTTGATGAAGAGAGGAAGCATCTTGAAGAAGAGAGGAAGCATCTTGATGAAGAGAGGAGACTCTTGATGAGGAACAATCTTAGAGAGGAAGCACCTTGATGAAGAGAGGCAAAGCTACTTGAATATAGAGGGAGCACCTTATGAGAGAGAGAAGCATACTTGATTGAAGAGAGCGGAAGACAGGGGGAATTTCTTTTGGATGGAAACAGGAGGAGTGGAGTGAGAGGGGACTTGGTGACGAGGTGAGAGAAGTACTTTGAATGAAGAGAGGAAGCAATCTTGATGAAGAGGAGACTTAGGGAAGCATCGTTTGTGGAGAGAGAAGACAACATCTTGTCAGAGAATATTGTTAAAGAGAGAAGCACATTTAGAGAGGAAGTCTTTAAAAGCATTGTCAAGGAAAGTAACTTTGTTGAAGAGAGGAAGCATCTTGATGAAAGAGGAAAGCACTTTTGGAAGGAAAGCATTGAGAGAGAGCAGACTTGATGAGCAGAGGAAAGCACCTTGTAAGGGATATTTGAGAAGACGAGGAAGCACCTTTGAATCAAGGAGTGAAGCTATCTGTTCAGAGAGGAAGCATCTTAGAGAGAGGCAGCACCTTTGATCAAGAGAGGAAGTCTTGTTGAAGAGAGGAAGCCATTGAAATAAGAAGACGGAAAGTACTTTTGTAGAGAGAGGAAGCACCTTGATTAGAGAGAGAGATACTTTGTTGAAGAGAGGATTAGGCATTGATGAAAGAGGAAGGCACGCTTTGTGAAGAGGAGCAAGCATCTTGATGAAGAGAGGAAAGCACTTTGATGAAGAGAGGAAGATCATCTATGAGAGACTTGATAGAAGAGAGGAAGCACTTTGATCAGAGAGGAAGTCATTCTTGAAGGAAAGAGGAAGTCTTTGAAAGAAGAGAGGAAGCACTTTGTTGAATGAGAGGAAAGCATCTTGATGAGAGAGAAGCACTGTGAGAAGAGAGGAAGCATCTAGATGAAGAGATGGACAGTCACTTGTGAAGAGAGGACCCATACTTGATGAGAAGAGAGACTTCTTGAAATAGAAGAGAGGGACTTTACGAAAGTACTTATAAGGGAAGCTGATGAAGAGAGGGAAGCACTGATAAAGAAACTGATGAGAGACGTGAAGAGAGGAAGACGTGAAAGAGAACACCTTGATCAAAGGACGTAGAGAGAGAAGCACTATTAAGGAGGGGGGTGGGGGGAGTATTGAAGAGAGGAAGCACTTGAAAAGAGAGGGAAGTAACTTTTGAAAAGAGAGGAAAGACTCTTGAATGAAGAGGAAGGAAGACTTTGTTGAAGAGAGGAAGCATGCTTGAATGAGAGAAGACTTGTGAATAGGAGCTCTTGATGAAGAGAGGAAGCACCTTGATGAAGAGAGGAAGCACCCGTTGATCAAAGAGATATAGAGAGGAAGTACTTTGAAGAAGAGAGGAAGCACCTGAATTGAAAAAGAGCATGTCAAGAGGAGGAAGCATCTTGATGAGAGAGGATAGTCTATAAGAGAACAGACGCTGTGAGAGGTATGAAGACAGAGGAGATCTGTATGAAGAAGATTTTGAAGGAGGAATACGATGAAAAGACTTGTAAGGAGAAGGAAGCATCTTGTATGAAGAGATGGAAGCACTTTGTGAAGAGGAGGAAGTACTTTGATGAATGAGAGAGGAAAGTACTCTTTGATGAGAGAGAGGAAGTACTTGCTGATGAAGAAGAGACAGCATTCCTTGATGAAGAGAGAAGCATTCGGTGATGAAGAGAGGAAAGATCTTGATGAAGAGAGGAAGCACTTGATGAAAGGAAGGACGTATGCACTAAGACGAAGAAGGGCTTGACTCGAAGAGAGAGAAGTACTTTCGGGAGCATTTGACAGAGAGGAAGCATACTTGATGATGAAGAGCATTTGATGGAAGACGAGTTCTTTGTTGAAGAAGGAAGCATCTTGATGAAGGAAGGAAAGTACTTTTGAAGCAGAGGAAGCTGCTTAATGAAGAGGAGAAGTACATTTTCTCTGAGAGAGGAAGGCTTACGAGATTAGCATGATGAAAGAGGAAGCATCCTTATGAGAAAGATTTCAGAGAGAAAGTTACCTTGATGGTGAACTCTTGTGAAGACGAGGACAGCCACTTGATGAGAGAGAAGCACTTTGAAGAAGAGAGAGATGACATCTTGTGAAAAGGCAGTGACTGTGAGAGAGGAAGCACTATGAGAGAGATATGAAGAAGAAGAGAGAAGCACTTAATGAACGAGAGAGTAACTTTGAAGGGAAGCACTTGAAAAGAGGAAGATCTTGATGAAGAGGAAGCCAGCTTTGAAGAGAGGAAGTACTTTGAAAACAAGAGACCGCGATAGCATCTGATGAAGAGAGGAAGCATTGAATGAAGAGAGAAGATCTTGATGAAGAGAAGAAGCATTTGATGAAGAGAGGAAGCACTTGATCAAAGAGAATACTTTGAAGAAGAGAGGAAGCACCTTTCCAAGAGATTAAGAGAAAATGATAAAAGAGGAAGTACTTTGAAGGAGAGGAAGATGATAAAGAAGGAAGCATCTTGAATGAGAAGGAAGTCGGATGAGAAGGTAGCATTTGATGAAGAGAAGGAAAGCATCTTTGTGAGAGAGGGAAGCACCTTGACTGAAGAGAGAAAGCACTTTGAAGAAGAGAGGAAGCATCTTGATAGAAGCAGAGGAAGTGAGCAGATGGAAAGAGATGTGAATTGTTGAGAAGACCTGAAGACTTGAATTGAAGGGAAAGCACTTTGAAGGAGAGAGGAAGCATCCGTGAGGGCTGTATGAAAGATGGAAGCACGTTGTGAAGACGGTAGAGCACCTTGATAAAGAGAAAGCACATCTTGAATAAGAGAGGAAGCATCTCGGTTGATGAGAACAGAGAGCGTAAGTAAGACGCATCTAATAGATAACCATTAGCTACCTAGCCAGATGAAGCAAGAGAACTATTCCTAATGCGACAGAAATATGAGAATCCATGATGCAAGAGGCAAGCACTGTTGAAGAGGGTAGCTCTTCGAAGTAAGAGAGGAAGCATCCTCGGATGAAGAGAGGAAAGCAAAATCTTTGATGAGAGAGCGAAGCCATCTGATGGAGAAGAGTGAGAGGGAAGCATCTTAATTGTATATGAGAGGAAAGTCACTTCTGAAGAAGAGAGGAAGATCTTGATGGAAGAGAGGAAGAGACTTTGTTGAAGAAGGAACATCTTGATGAAAGAGGGAAGTACTTTGGTTGAAGAGAGGAAGCACCTTGATGAAAGAGAGGAGTACTTTTGTGAAGAGAGGAGCATCTTTGAATTGAAAGAGGAAGGACCTTGATCAAGAGAGGACCAGATACTTTGTTGAAGAGAGGAAGTACTTATGTTGCAGAGAGGAAGCTGCATGATGAAGAGAGGAAGTACTTTGTTGAAGAGAGGAAGCATCTTAAAATCTGAAGAGAGGAAGTACTTTGTGAAGAGAGGAGCTTCTTGATGGTAGTCACTACTGAAGCAACTCTCTGATTGAATGCAAGGACTCAGGACCTGATCAAGAGAGAGAGTACTTTGGAAGAAGAGAGAAGCACCTTGATCAAGAGAGGAAGTACTTTTGTTGAAGGAGGAAAGCACCTTGCATTGAAGAGAAGGAAGCATCCTGTGATGAATGAGAGGAAGCTACCTTGACTGAAGAGAGGAAGGCATGTCTGATCAAGAGAGAGATCACTTGTGAGAGAGGAAGACCTATTGTAAGAGAGGAACGTTATTTAGTTGAAGAAGAGATAGCATCTTTGAATGAAGAGAGAGGAAGCACTTTGAGAAGAGGAGGAGCACTTTGTTGAAGAGAGGAGAGATCTTTAATGAAGAGAGGAAGTACTTTGTTGAAGAGAGATAGCATCCTTGATGAGAGAGAAAGTACTTTTGTTGAAGAGAGGAAGCATGCTTGATGAAGAGAGGAAGCACTTTGATGGAAGAGAGGAAGCACATTGATGAAGAGGAGCAAGCTGACATGATGGTGATGACATGATGGAGATGAGGAAGCACCTTGTATGATAGAGAGGAAGCACTATGATGGAAGAGGAAGCTGGCATGATGGATGCCAATGATGCGGGCTCGCGCACCAGCACCTTGCTGAAGAGAGGAAGCACCTTGATATGAAGAGAAGGAAGCATGCTTAATGAAGAGAGGAAGCATCTTGATGAAAGCAGAGGACAGTACTTTGAGAAGAGATGGAGCATCTTGATTGAAGCAGGCGAGAAGAAGAATCACGTGACCTCTGCCACCAATATTAATCCACGCTAAGACTTGAACAGGCGTAGAGGTACCCTCGATGCTGCCCATCTTCAATTTGACTAATGTGAAGAGTGAAGCATCTTGAATAGAGAGGAAGTACTTTGTTGGAAGAGAGGAAGCATCTTGATGAGAGAAGAAGCACTTGTTTGAAGAGTAGAAGCACCTTGATGAAGAGAGAGGAAGACTTTGAAGAAGAGAGGAGAAGCACTTTGCAAAGAGAGGAAGCACTTTGTTGATGAGAGGAAGATCTTGATCAGAGAGGGAAGTACTTTGAGAAGAGAGAAGCACCTTGATGAAGAGAGGAGAAGCACTTTGTTGAAAGAGAGAGAAAGCATTTAGTTAATGATAGACGCATGAATACTTTGTTTGAAGAGAGGAAGCATCTTGGATGAAGAGAGGAAGTACGTTGATGAAGAGCAGGAAGCATTCTTAACTGAAGAGAGGAAGTACTTGTTGAAGAGAGAAGCATCTGATGAAAGAGGAAAGTACTTTTGAGAGAGGAAGCTGCATGATGAAGAGAGAGAAGTACTCTGTTGAAGAAGAGGAAGATGCATGATGAGCAGAGGAAGCCTGCATTCTTGAGCTAAGAGGGAAATGACTTTGACGAAGACATTGAACACCCTTGATGAAGAGAGGAAGCTGGCATGATGGATGCATCGATGGATGAGGAAGCAGCCTTGATTGAAGAGAGGAAGCACCTTGATGAAGAGAGGAAGCTGATGATGGAGCATGATGAGAGTGAGGAAGCACTTGATGAAGAGAGGAAGCACTTGATGAAGAGAGGAAGCATCTTAATGAAGAGAGGAAGCATCTTGATGAAGAGAGGAAGTACTTTGAAGAAGAGAGGAAGCATCTTGATGAAGAGAGGAAGCACCTTGATGAAGAGAGGAAGTACTTTGTTGAAGAGAGGAAGCATCTTGATGAAGAGAGGAAGTACTTTGTTGAAGAGAGGAAGCATCTTGATGAAGAGAGGAAGCACTTTGTGAAGAGAGGAAGCACCTTGATGAAGAGAGGAAGTACTTTGAAGAGAGAGGAAGCACTTTGAAGAAGAGAGGAAGCATTTGTTGAAGAGAGGAAGCATCTTGATCAAGAGAGGAAGTACTTTGAAGAAGAGAAGCACTTGATGAAGAGAGGAAGCACTTTGTTGAAGAGAGGAAGCATCTAATGAAGAGAGGAAGTACTTTGTTGAAGAGAGGAAGCATCTTGATGAAGAGAGGAAGTACTTTGATGAAGAGAGGAAGCATCTTATGAAGAGAGGAAGTACTTTGTTGAAGAGAGGAAGCATCTTGATGAAAGAGGAAGTACTTTGTTGAAGAGAGGAAGCTGCTGATGAAGAGAGGAAGTACTTTGTTGAAGAGAGGAAGCTGCATGATGAAGAGAGGAAGCTGCATCTTGAGAAGAGAGGAAGTACTTTGACGAAGAGAGGAAGCACCTTGATGAAGAGAGGAAGCTGCATGATGATGCATGATGAGTGAGGAAGCACTTGATGAAGAGAGGAAGCACCTTGATGAAGAGAGGAAGCATCTTGATGAAGAGAGAAGCATCTTGATGAAGAGAGGAAGTACTTTGAAGAAGAGAGGAAGCATCTTGATGAAGAGAGGAAGCACTTGATGAAGAGAGGAAGCACCTTGATCAAGAGGGAAGCACTTTGTTGAAGAGAGGAAGCATCTTAATGAAGAGAGGAAGTACTTTGTTGAAGAGAGGAAGCATCTTGATGAAGAGAGGAAGCACTTTGTTGAAGAGAGGAAGCATCTTGATGAAGAGAGGAAGCACTTTGATGAAGAGAGGAAGCACCTTGATGAAGAGAGGAAGCACCTTGATCAAGAGAGGAAGCATCTTGATGAAGAGAGGAAGTACTTTGAAGAAGAGAGGAAGCACCTTGATGAAGAGAGGAAGCATCTTGATGAAGAGAGGAAGCATCTTGATGAAGAGAGGAAGCATCTTGATGAAGAGAGGAAGCACCTTGATGAAGAGAGGAAGTACTTTGAAGAAGAGAGGAAGCATCTTGATGAAGAGAGGAAGTACTTTGTTGAAGAGAGGAAGCATCTTGATGAAGAGAGGAAGCACCTTGATCAAGAGAGGAAGTACTTTGTTGAAGAGAGGAAGCACTTTGAAGAAGAGAGGAAGTACTTTGAAGAAGAGAGGAAGCACCTTGATCAAGAGAGGAAGTACTTTGTTGAAGAGAGGAAGCATCTTGATGAAGAGAGGAAGCACTTTGTTGAAGAGAGGAAGCATCTTGATGAAGAGAGGAAGCACCTTGATGAAGAGAGGAAGCACCTTGATCAAGAGAGGAAGTACTTTGAAGAAGAGAGGAAGCACTTGATAAGAGAGGAAGTACTTTGTTGAAGAGAGGAAGCATTTGAAGAAGAGAGGAAGTACTTTGAAGAAGAGAGGAAGCACCTTGATCAAGAGAGGAAGTACTTTGTTGAAGAGAGGAAGCACTTTGAAGAAGAGAGGAAGTACTTTGAAGAAGAGAGGAAGCACCTTGATCAAGAGAGGAAGTACTTGATGTTGAAGAGAGGAAGCATTTGAAGAAGAGAGGAAGCACTTGATGAAGAGAGGAAGCACTTGATGAAGAGAGGAAGCATTGATGAAGAGAGGAAGCATCTTGATGAAGAGAGGAAGCATCTTGATGAAGAGAGGAAGTACTTTGAAGAAGAGAGGAAGTACTTTGAAGAAGAGAGGAAGCACCTTGATGAAGAGAGGAAGCACCTTGATGAAGAGAGGAAGCATCTTGATGAAGAGAGGAAGCACTTTGTTGAAGAGAGGAAGCATCTTGATGAAGAGAGGAAGCACCTTGATGAAGACAGGAAGTACTTTGTTGAAGAGAGGAAGCACCTTGATGAAGAGAGGAAGCACCTTGATGAAGAGAGGAAGCATCTTGATGAAGAGAGGAAGCATCTTGATGAAGAGAGGAAGCATTTGATGAAGAGAGGAAGTACTTTGTTGAAGAGAGGAAGCATCTTGATCAAGAGAGGAAGTACTTTGTTGAAGAGAGGAAGCACTTTGAAGAAGAGAGGAAGCATCTTGATGAAGAGAGGAAGCACCTTGATGAAGAGAGGAAGTACTTTGTTGAAGAGAGGAAGCATCTTGATGAAGAGAGGAAGCACTTGATGAAGAGAGGAAGCACTTGATGAAGAGAGGAAGCACTTGATGAAGAGAGGAAGCACCTTGATGAAGAGAGGAAGCATCTTGATCAAGAGAGGAAGCATCTTGATGAAGAGAGGAAGCATCTTGATGAAGAGAGGAAGCACTTTGTTGAAGAGAGGAAGCATCTTGATGAAGAGAGGAAGCACCTTGATGAAGAGAGGAAGTACTTTGTTGAAGAGAGGAAGCATCTTGATGAAGAGAGGAAGTACTTTGTTGAAGAGAGGAAGCACCTTGATCAAGAGAGGAAGTACTTTGTTGAAGAGAGGAAGCATCTTGATGAAGAGAGGAAGCACTTTGAAGAAGAGAGGAAGCATCTTGATGAAGAGAGGAAGCACCTTGATCAAGAGAGGAAGTACGTTGTTGAAGAGAGGAAGTACTTTGTTGAAGAGAGGAAGCACCTTGATGAAGAGAGGAAGTACTTTGAAGAAGAGAGGAAGCACCTTGATCAAGAGAGGAAGTATTTTGTTGAAGAGAGGAAGCACTTGATGAAGAGAGGAAGCACCTTGATGAAGAGAGGAAGCACCTTGATCAAGAGAGGAAGTACTTTGAAGAAGAGAGGAAGCATCTTGATGAAGAGAGGAAGCACCTTGATGAAGAGAGGAAGCATCTTAATGAAGAGAGGAAGCACTTTGTTGAAGAGAGGAAGCATCTTAATGAAGAGAGGAAGTACTTTGTTGAAGAGAGGAAGCATTTGATGAAGAGAGGAAGCACTTTGTTGAAGAGAGGAAGCATCTTGATGAAGAGAGGAAGCACTTGATGAAGAGAGGAAGCACTTGATGAAGAGAGGAAGCATCTTGATCAAGAGAGGAAGCACCTTGATGAAGAGAGGAAGTACTTTGAAGAAGAGAGGAAGCACTTTGAAGAAGAGGAAGCACTTTGTTGAAGAGAGGAAGCATCTAATGAGAGAGGAAGTACTTTGTTGAAGAGAGGAAGCATCTTGATGAAGAGAGGAAGTACTTTGTTGAAGAGAGGAAGCATCTTGATGAAGAGAGGAAGCACTTTGATGAAGAGAGGAAGCACCTTGATGAAGAGAGGAAGCTGCATGATGGATGCATGATGGAGTGAGGAAGCACCTTGATGAAGAGAGGAAGCACCTTGATGAAGAGAGGAAGCTGCATGATGGATGCATGATGAGTGAGGAAGCACCTTGATGAAGAGAGGAAGCACCTTGATCAAGAGAGGAAGCATCTTAATGAAGAGAGGAAGCATCTTGATGAAGAGAGGAAGTACTTTGAAGAGAGGAAGCATCTTGAAAGAGAGGAAGCACCTTGATAAGAGAGGAAGTACTTTGTTGAAGAGAGGAAGCATCTTGATGAAGAGAGGAAGTACTTTGTTGAAGAGAGGAAGCATCTTGATGAAGAGAGGAAGCACTTTGTTGAAGAGAGGAAGCACCTTGATGAAGAGAGGAAGTACTTGAAGAAGAGAGAAGCACTTTGAAGAAGAGAGGAAGCACTTTGTTGAAGAGAGGAAGCATCTTGATCAAGAGAGGAAGTACTTTGAAGAAGAGAGGAAGCACCTTGATGAAGAGAGGAAGCACTTTGATGAAGAGAGGAAGCACCTTGATCAAGAGAGGAAGTACTTTGAAGAAGAGAGGAAGCATCTTGATGAAGAGAGGAAGCACCTTGATGAAGAGAAGCATCTTAATGAAGAGGAAGCACTTTGTTGAAGAGAGGAAGCATCTTAATGAAGAGAGGAAGTACTTGTTGAAGAGAGGAAGCATTTGATGAAGAGAGGAAGCACTTTGTTGAAGAGAGGAAGCATCTTGATGAAGAGAGGAAGCACTTGATGAAGAGAGGAAGCACCTTGATGAAGAGAGGAAGCATCTTGATCAAGAGAGGAAGCACCTTGATGAAGAGAGGAAGTACTTTGAAGAAGAGAGGAAGCACTTTGAAGAAGAGAGGAAGCACTTTGTTGAAGAGAGGAAGCATCTTAATGAAGAGAGGAAGTACTTTGTTGAAGAGAGGAAGCATCTTGATGAAGAGAGGAAGTACTTTGTTGAAGAGAGGAAGCATCTTGATGAAGAGAGGAAGCACTTTGATGAAGAGAGGAAGCACCTTGATGAAGAGAGGAAGCTGCATGATGGATGCATGATGGAGTGAGGAAGCACCTTGATGAAGAGAGGAAGCACCTTGATGAAGAGAGGAAGCTGCATGATGGATGCATGATGGAGTGAGGAAGCACCTTGATGAAGAGAGGAAGCACCTTGATCAAGAGAGGAAGCATCTTAATGAAGAGAGGAAGCATCTTGATGAAGAGAGGAAGTACTTTGAAGAAGAGAGGAAGCATCTTGATGAAGAGAGGAAGCACCTTGATAAAGAGAGGAAGTACTTTGTTGAAGAGAGGAAGCATCTTGATGAAGAGAGGAATACTTTGTTGAAGAGAGGAAGCATCTTGATGAAGAGAGGAAGCTATTGTGAAGAGAGGAAGCAACCTTGATGAAGAGAGGAAGTACTTTGAAAGAGAGGAAGCACTTTGAAGAGAGAGGAAGCACTTTGTTGAAGAGAGGAAGCATCTTGATCGAGAGGAAGTACTTTGAAGAAGAGAGGAAGCACCTTGATGAAGAGAGGAAGCACTTTGATGAAGAGAGGAAGCATCTTAATGAAGAGAGGAAGTACTTTGTTGAAGAGAGGAAGCACCTTGATCAAGAGAGGAAGTACTTTGTTGAAGAGAGGAAGTACTTTGAAGAAGAGAGGAAGCACTTTGTTGAAGAGAGGAAGCATCTTGATGAAGAGAGGAAGCACTTTGATGAAGAGAGAAGCACTTGATGAAGAGAGGAAGTACTTTGAAGAAGAGAGGAAGCACCTTGATCAAGAGAGGAAGTATTTTGTTGAAGAGAGGAAGCAACTTGATGAAGAGAGGAAGCTGCATGATGGATGCATGATGGAGTGAGGAAGCATCTTGATGAAGAGAGCAAGCTGCATGATGAAGAGAGGAAGCACCTTGATGAAGAGAGGAAGCATCTTGATGAAGAGAGGAAGCACCTTGATGAAGAGAGGAAGTACTTTGAAGAAGAGAGGAAGCACTTTGTTGAAGAGAGGAAGCATCTTAATGAAGAGAGGAAGTACTTTGTTGAAGAGAGGAAGCATCTTGATGAAGAGAGGAAGTACTTTGTTGAAGAGAGGAAGCATCTTGATGAAGAGAGGAAGCACTTTGTTGAAGAGAGGAAGCATCTTGATGAAGAGAGGAAGCACCTTGATGAAGAGAGGAAGCACTTTGTTGAAGAGAGGAAGCTGTATGATGAAGAGAGGAAGCACCTTGATGAAGAGAGGAAGCACTTTGTTGAAGAGAGGAAGCACCTTGATGAAGAGAGGAAGTACTTTGAAGAAGAGAGGAAGCACTTTGAAGAAGAGAGGAAGCACTTTGTTGAAGAGAGGAAGCATCTTGATCAAGAGAGGAAGTACTTTGAAGAAGAGAGGAAGCACCTTGATGAAGAGAGGAAGCACTTTGTTGAAGAGAGGAAGCATTTTAATGAAGAGAGGAAGTACTTTGTTGAAGAGAGGAAGCATCTTGATGAAGAGAGGAAGTACTTTGAAGAAGAGAGGAAGCATCTTAATGAAGAGAGGAAGTACTTTGTTGAAGAGAGGAAGCATCTTGATGAAGAGAGGAAGTACTTTGTTGAAGAGAGGAAGCTGCATCTTGAGCAAGAGAGGAAGTACTTTGTTGAAGAGAGGAAGCTGCATGATGAAGAGAGGAAGCTGCATCTTGAGAAGAGAGGAAGTACTTTGACGAAGAGAGGAAGCACTTGATGAAGAGAGGAACGCATGATGGATGCATGATGGAGTGAGGAAGCACCTTGATAAGAGAGGAAGCATTGATGAAGAAGGAAGCATTTGATGAAGAGAGGAAGCATCTTGATGAAGAGAGGAAGTACTTTGAAGAAGAGAGGAAGCATCTCTTGATGAAGAGAGGAAGCACCTTGAGGAGGAAGCACCTTTGTTTGAAGAGAGGAAGCTGTATGATGAAGAGAGGAAGTTACTTTGTTGAAGAGAGGAAGCACTTTGAAGAAGAGAGGAAGCATTTGTTGAAGAGAGGAAGCATCTTGATGAAGAGAGGAAGCACTTGATGAAGAGAGGAAGCACTTGATAAGAGAGGAATCTACTTGAAGAGAGAGGAAGCACTTTGTTGAAGAGAGGAAGCATCTTGATCAAAGAGAGGAACGACTTTGTTTGAGAGAGGAAGCACTTGATAAGAGAGGAGATCTTATCAAGAGGGAGCATCTTGAAAGAGAGAAGCACTTTGTGAAGAGAGGAAGCATCTTATAAGAGAGGAAGTACTTTGAAGAAGAGAGGAAGCACCTTGATGAAGAGAGAAGCACTTTGTTGAAGAGAGGAAGCATCTTAATGAAGAGAGGAAGTACTTTGTTGAAGAGAGGGAAGCATTCTTGATGAAGAGAGGAAGTACTTTGAAGAAAGAGGAAGCACTTTGATGAAGAGAGGAAGTAACTTGTTGAAGAGAGGAAGCATCTTGATGAAGAGAGGAAGTACTTTTGTTAGAAGAGAGGAAGCTGCATCTGATGAAGAGAGGAAGTACTTTTGTTGAAGAGAGGAAGCTGATGATGAAGAGAGGAAGCTGCATCTTGAGCAAGAGAGGAAGTACTTTGACGAAGAGAGGAAGCACCTTGATGAGAGAGGAAGCTGATGATGGATGCATGCAATGAGTGAGGAAGCACCTTGATGAAGATAGAGGAAGTACTTGAAGAGAGGAAGCATTTGTAAGAGAGGAAGCATCTTGATGAAGAGAGGAAGTCTATTGTAAAGAGAGTAAGCATCTGATGAGAGGGAAGCACCTTGATGAAGAGAGGAAGACTTTGTTGAAGAGAGGAAGCTGTATTGATGAAGAGGAGGAAGCACTTTGTTGAAGAGAGGAAGTACTTTGAAGAAGAGAGGAAGCACTTTGATGAAGAGAGGAAGCACTTTGATGAAGAGAGAAGCTTGTAAGAGAGGAAGCACCTTGATGAAGAGAGGAAGTACTTTGAAGAAGAGAGGAAGCACCTTGATCAAGAGAGAAGTATTTTGTTGAAGAGAGAAGCAACTTGATGAAGAGAGGAAGCTGCATGATGGATGCATGATGGAGTGAGAAGCATCTCTGATTGAAGAGAGGAAGCACTTGCATGAAGAGAGGAAGCACCTTGATGAAGAGAGGAAGTACCTTTGTTGAAGAAGAGCGAAGCTGCATGATGTGGATGGCATGATTGGAGTGAGGAAGCATCTTGACTTGATAAGAGAGGAAGCACCTTTTGAGAAGAGAGGAAAAGCACTTTGTGAAGAGAGGAAGCTGCTTATGAGGAGAGTGACTTGAGTGTTAGAGAAGATTCATCTTGATGAAGAGAGGAATAGACCTTGATGAAGAGAGGAAGCACCTCTTAATGAAGCAGAGGAGATGTATTGTTGAGAAGAAGATCTTGGAAAGAAGCACTTTGGTTGAAAGAGAGGAAGTCTGCATATGAGAGAGAGGAAGCTACTTTGAAGAAGAGAGACTGCACTTGTTGAAGAGGAGGAAGCATCATTCAAGAGGAGCCGAAAGAGAGGAGTACTTTGAAAAGAGGAGCCTTGATAAAGCAGACCTTCATTGAGAGGGAGACTTGTAAAGAAGGAGGAACTGCATGATGGAATGCATGATGCGAGTGAGGAAGCATCTTGATGAAGAGAGGAAGCACCTTGATGAAGAGAGGAAAGCTATCTTGATGAGAGAGGAAGCACTTTGATGTAAGAGAGAAGTACCTTGGATGTAACCTGAAGAAGAGAGGAAGCATCTTGTGAAGAGAGGAAGCATCGATCCAAGAGAGGAAGCACCTTGATGCAAGAGAGGAGACTTTGATGAAAGAGGAAGACCGATGACGGAAGTCCTTTGAAGAAGGCACTTGAAGAGAGGAAGTATTGTGTTGAAGAGGTTAAGCAATTGATGAAGGAGAGGAAGCGCCACCATGTGCATTGGTGGGAGTCTGATGAAGAACGAGGAAGCACCGTTGATGAAGAGAGGGAAGCACTTTGATGAAGAGGAGGATAGTGAACCTGTTGAAGGAGAAGAGTACTAAGGCACTATGGAGAGAATGAACTTTGTAAGAAGAAGCGAAGCACCGATGAGAAGGAACATTTGATTGAAGAGAGGAAGCACTTGATGAAGAGAGGAAGCACATCTTGTGAAAGAGAGGATAGCGTACTTGATGAAGAGAGGAAGTAGCACCTTTTGAAGAAGAAGGAAGGCATCTTGATGGAAGAGAGAAGTACTTTATTTAGTAAGAGCATTTGATGCGGACTATCAATGTACTTTGGAAAGTAGATAGTTGAAGGCATGAATGGGAAGCACCTGATTGAAAATCTATGAGTGAGGATACACTTGTGAGAAGAGAGGAAGCACCTTGATCAATGAGAGGAAGTACTTTCGTTGAAGAGAGGAAGATTTAAAGGACCATCTTGATCGAAGAAGCCCTAGAGAGAGAGCCATTGTTGAAGAGGAGGAAGCATCTTGATGAAGAGAGGAAGCCACTTTGTTGAAGAGAGGAAGCACTTTGACAAGAGAGGAAGTACTTCTTTGAAGATGAGAGGAAGCACCTGATCAGCGGAGTATGTGAAGAGAGGAAGCATTTGATAGAAGAGAGGAAGCTACTGTTTGAATGAGAGGGATAGCATCCTTATCAAGGAGGAAGTACTTTTTAGAAGAAGCACTTAAGAAGAGAAGCGACCATTGAGAGAGTAGCACTTGATAAGAGAGGAAAGACTTTGTTGAGAAGAGCAGAAGCACTTTGAAGAAGAGAGGAAGTTCTCTTGAATAAGAAGATGATAGAAGGAAGCACCTTGATGAAGAGAGAAGCATACTTGAGAAGAGAGGAAGCATTTGAATGTAAGAAGGGGAAGTACTTCATTGAAGAAGAGAGGAAGTACTTGATGAGAAAAGACCTGGGTATTGAAAGAGAGGAAGCACCTTGATGAGAGAGGAAGACTTGTGGAGGAAGTATTTGTATGAAGAGAGGAAGCACTTTGTTGAAGAGAGGAAGGCATCTTGAGAGAGAGGAAGTCACTCTTGATGAAGAAGGGAAGTTGCACTTTGATGAGAGAGGAAGCACCTTGATGAAAGAGAGGACAGCACCTTGACAGAGAGGAAGCACCTTGATGAAAGAGACGGAAGTTACTTGGATGAAGAGAGGAAGCACTTATCTGAATGAAGAGAGGAAGACGTATTGTTGAAGAGAGGAAAGTCCAATGCTTGACAAGAGAGGAAGAATTGCTTGACGGAGAGCTTGATAGAAGAGAGGAAGCATCTTGATGAAGAGAGGAAGCACCTTTGAGTGAGAGAGAGTTATCGGAGTACAACCTTTGTTAAGAGCAGGAAGCAATTTCTTGATGAAGAGAGGAAGCTGCAACATGGATGATTGATGAGTAAGAGGAAGCATCTCTGATGAAGAGAGGAAGCACCTTGAAATGAAGAGAGGAAGCACCTTGATGAAGAGAGGAAAAGCATTGATAAGAGAGGAAGCCACCTCTTGATAGAAGAGAGGGCATATGAAGAGCAGAACACTTTGTTGAGAGAGAGGAAGCATCTTGATTGAAGAGAGGAAGAACTTATGAAAGATGTACTGTCTGAAGAGAGGAAGCATCTTGATGGAAGAGAGAAAGCTACTTTGTTGAAGAGAGGAGCAACCTTGATAAAGAGGAAGTAACTTTAGAGGAATCTGAGAGAGAGAAGCCAACTTTGAAGAAGAGTAGGAAGCACTCTTGTGAAGAGAGGAAACGTCAGAGGAAGTCTTGTGAAAGAGAAGCTGAGAGAGGAAGCACCTTGATGAAGAGAGGAGTTACTTGAAAAGAGAGAGAAGCACTCTTGATCAAGAGAGGAAGTATTTGTTGTATGAGAGGAAGCACCTTGATGAAGCAGAGGAAGCTGATGAAGACCTTGATCAAGAGAGAAGACCTTTGAAAGAAGAGAGGAAGCCTTTGATGAAGAGAGAGTATGTTGATGAAAGTAGGAATGCTTGATGAAAGAACTCATTATGGATGAAGAGAGGAAGCACTTGTTGAAGGAGCACTTGATGAGAAGAGAAGCATCTTGATGAAGAGAGGAAGTACTTTGGTGAGAGAGGAAGCATCTTGGATGAAGAGAGCAGAGCACTTTGATTGAAGAGAGGAAGCATCTTGATAAGGGGGACCTTATGACGGAGGAAGCACTTGAATGGAAGAGAGGAACGCTGATGGACTGGACTGTGTAGATCTTACTGAAGAGAGGAAGCATCTTGATCAGAAGAAGACGGAAGATCTGATGAGAAGGAAGCTATTTGAAGAAGAAGGAACACTGAGAAGAAGGCAAGCCTTGATGAGAGGAAGTTATGAAAGGAAGTACTTTGTTGAAGAAGAGGAAGCATCTTGATGAAGAGAGGAAGTACTTTGTTTGAAGAGAGGAGCATTTGATGAGAGAAGATTGAGAGAGACATCTGTGGGAGTCTGATGATGCAATGATGAGGAAGCACCTTGATGAAGGAGATGGAAGACTTGAATGAAGAGAGGAAGCTCATTATGGACAGAATGGAGGAGGAGCACTTTGATGAGAGAGAAGACCTTGATCAAGAAGAGGAAGCATTGTATGAAGAGAGGAATACATTTGATAGAGAGAAGTATTGAGAAGAGAAGGAGCATCGTTGATAAGGAGAGGAAGGCACCTTGATGAAGAGAGGAAGTACTTTAGGAGATCTTGAAGGAGTTTGTGAAGAGAGGAAGCATCTTGATGAAGAGAGGAATACAGCTCTTTGTTGAAAGAGGAAGCACTCCTTGATTGAAGAGAGGAGTTACTTTGAAAAGAGAGGAACACTTTGAATGAGAGAGGAAGCACTTTTGTGCAAAGAGGAAGCATCCTTGATCAAGAGAGGAACATACTTGAAGAAGAGAAGACCTTTGAGCACTTTGAATGAGAGAGAAGCACGTTGATCAAGAGAGGAAGTACTTGTTGGAAGAGAGGAGCCTGATGAAGGAGGAGCACCTTATAGAGAAGACTAAATGAAGAGAAGATTAAAGGACTCTTAGAAAGTCATAGTGAAAGGGAGCAACCTTGATTAGAAGGGATGTGAGAGAGAGCATCTTGTGAAGAGAGGAAGCACCCTGATGAAGAGAGGAAGCACCTTGATTGAAGAGAGGAAGACATCTTGATGAAAAGCATTATGAAGAGAGGAAGTACTTGAAGAAGAGAGGAAGCTCTTGAAGAAGAGAGGAAGCACTTGTGTAAGAGAGGAAGCATCTATAAGAGGATCTTTGTTGAAAAGGAAAAGCATCTATGATGCAAGAAGAGGAAGCACTTGTTGAAAGAGAGAAGCATCTTGGCAGAGGGAAGAGTATTTGAATGACGAGAGGGAAGTACTTTGAATGAGAGAGGAACCCTGCATGGGATGGATGCATGATGGAGTAGGAAGCATCTTGATGGAGTGAGGAAGCAACTTGATGAAAGAGAGGAAGCACCTGCATGAGACATGAGAGTGAGGAATACTTTTGAAGAGCAGGAAGTCACTCTTGAAGTCAAGAGAGGAACGCATCGTATGATTAAGGAAAAGAAGCATCTGATGAAACGAGAAAGGAAGTAGCACTGTTGAGAAGAGAGGAAGCATCTTGATGAAGAGAGGAAGCACTGCTTAAGGAAGATCTAATAAGAGAGGAAGTAGCTTCATGTTGTTGAAGAGGGAAGCATCTTGATTGAAGAGAGGAAGTACTCTGTTGTTGAAGAGAGGAGCATCTTGACTGAATGAGAGGAGCACTTTGATTGAAGAGAGGAAGTTCACTTGTAATGAGAGAGGGAAGGATACTTGAGAAGAGAGGAAGCACTTTGTAAGAATGAGAGGAAGCATCTTTGTGAAGAGAGGAAGCATCTTGATCAAGAGAGGAAGACCTTTGATAGAAGAGAGGAAGTGACTGTAATGTTACCTAAGAAGAGAGGAAGCACTTGATGAGAGGATGGAGTATTTGAGAGGAAAGCATCTTATGAGAGAGGAAGTACTTTGTTGAAGAGAGGAACACTTTGAGTCAAGAGAGGAAGTACTTTGTGAAGAGAGGAATACCTTTGATGAAAGAGGAAGTACTTTGTGTGAAGAGAGGAAGCATCTTCGATGAAGAGAGGAAGCACTGTTTTGATAGAGAGAGGAGCACTTGCATGAAGAGAGGAAAGCTTTGTAGAATAGAGATGGAAGCATCCTTGATCAAGAGAGGAAGTACTTTGTTGAAGAGCAGAAGGCATCTTGATGAAGATGAGGAAGCTCATGATGGGATGATGTGAGTGAGGAAGATCGTTGATGAGAGATGCAGCATGCATGATGAAGAGTGAGGAAGCACCTGTGGAGATAGATATTTGAAGAGAGGAAGCATCTTGATAAGGAAGTATTGAGGAGAGGTAAGCACTTTGTTGAAGAGAGGAAGTACTTATGAGGAGGAAGTAAGAGAGGAAGCATCTGATGGAAGAGAGAAGCTTAGAAAGAGCCTGATGAAGAGTAGGAATGCCACTTTGTGTGAAGAGAGGAGCATCTTGATGAAACGAGAGGAAGCACCTTCAGGAGCACTAATGAAGAGAGGGAAGCTTTGTTGAGAGAGGAAGCTTAGAAGATGTAAGTCACTGATGAAGAGAGGAAGCACCTTGATGAAGGAGGTATAAGCACTTTTTAGAGGAGTGTATGAGAAGGAGGAAGCACCTTGTTGAGAAGAGGAAGTATCGTTGAGAAAGAGAGGAAGCATAAGAACACTTTGCTGAAGAGAGGGAAGCTACTGATTCAAAGAGAGGAAGTACTGAGAAGAAGTGATAGGTGCAGGTGAAGCTCTTTGATGAGTGAGAGAGCACTTTGCATTGAAGAGAGGAAGCACTTTATAATGAAGAGAGAAGTACTTGTGTAAGAAGTTTGATACGAGAGGAAGTACTTGAAAGAAGAGAGGAAGACATCTTGAATGAAGAGAGGAAGCTACTTGGTTGAAGAGAGGAGCATGGAAAAGCAAACTTTGTTGAAGAGAGGAAGGCTCTTGAGAAAGAGGAAGCTACTTTGTTGAGGGACTCGAGAGATGAGAAAGCTGCTCTATGAAGAGAGAGGAAGTACTTTGTATGAAGAGAGGAAGCACTTTGATGAAGAAGGAGGTAAGTATTTGCTGTGATGGATGAGATGAGGAAGCACGTCTGATGAAGAGAGAGAGCACTTGATGAAGAGAAATGATGGAAACTGTTGGAGGGGTACTTAGAAGAGAAGCGAAGCATCTTAATGAAGAGAGGAAGACCGATAAGAGTACTTTTGTCTGAAGAGTAGGAAGACCTTCTTGAATGAGAAGAAGACTGAGTAAGAGTAAGACTTTGTTGAAAGAGAGGAAGACTTTTTGATAAGAGAGAAAGCACTTTGTTGAAGAGAGCGAAGCATCATTGATGAGTATAAGCATTGATAAATATGAACCTTGATGAAGACGAGGAAGTACTTAAAAGGAGCCTTGACAAGGAGAGGAAGATTCTGATTGAAGAGAGAAGCAACTTTGTAGAGACTGTGAGGAGATGAGGACGAGGAAACATCTTGATGAAGAGAGGAAAGACTTTGTTGAAGAGAGGAAAGTACTTGTTTTTAGAGAAGAAGCACCTGGAAGATAGAGCCATGCGGAATCATCTTGATAGAGAGGAGAGCACCTTGATGAAGAGAGGACCAGCTACTTGTTAGAAGAGAGGAAAGCAACTTGAGGAGTAGCTTGAAGAAAGAGAAGCACTTTGTTGAAGAGAGGAAGCACTTAGATGCAGAGAGGAAGTAACTTGTTGAAGAGAGAAGTACTTTGAAGAGAGGAGACTTTGGAGGAAGGAACATCTTGATGAAGAGAGCGGAAGCACCTTGATTGAAGAGAGGAAGCACTTGTGAAGAGATGGAAGTCTTAGAGGGAGTATTGTGAAGAGAGAAGCACTGTTGAAGATAGATGACTTGGAAGAGAGGAAGCTTTAAGAAGTACTTTGAGTGACTTGCAGAATGAGGAGTGAGTACACTTTTAGTGAGGAAGCACTTATGAAGAGAGAAGCAACCTTGATGAAGAGAGGAAGTCACTTTGTTGAAAGAGAGGAAGTACTTTGAAGAAGAGAGGAACGCATCTTTTGTTGAAGAGAGAAAGCACCTTGATGAGGAGAAGCTATTGAGGAAGTAGCTCTTGATTGAGGAGAATTTTTGAAAGAGGAAGCATCTTGATGAAAGAAAGGAAGTACTTTGTTTGAAGAGAGGAAGCATCTTGATGAAGAGAGGAAGCACTTTGTTGAAGAGAGGAAGCACTTGATGAACGAGTAGGAAGATAACTTTGTGAAGAAGAGATGTACTACTTTGAGAAGAGAGGAAGCACTTATGTGAAGAGAGGAAGCACTCGAGGAAGTACTTTGTTGAAGGAGGAAAGCATCTTGATGAAGAGAGGAAGCAACCTTGATGAAGAAGGAAGCACTTGTTGGAAAGAGAGGTAAGTACATTTGTTGAAGAGAGTGGAACACTTGGTTGATATGAGAGGAAGCACCCCTTGAATGAAGAGAGGATAGTACTTTGTTGAAGAGAGAAGCATTCTGATGAAGAGAGTGAAGTACTTTGTTTGAAGAGAGGATCATCTGTGTATGAAGAGAGGCGAAGCCACTTTGTTGCCCAGAGAGGAAGCATCTTGATGAAGAGAGTTGAAGCCTTGTATGAAGAGAGGGGCACCTATGATGGAAGAGAGGAAGTTACTTTGTTGAAGAGAGGAAGTACTTTGAAGAAAGAGGAAGCTGCATTGATGGATGCATGATTCGGAGTGAGGAAGCATCTTGATGAAGAGAGGAAAGCATCTTGATGAAGAGAGGAAGTACTTAGTTTGAAGAGAGAAGCATTTCTTGATGAAGAGAGATAGCCCATTTGTTTGAAGAGAGGAAGTGCATCTTGATGAAGAGAGGAAGCACCTTTGATTGAAGAGAGGAAGCACCCTTGCCATGAAGAGAGGGAGCACTTTGTTGTAAGAGAGGAAAGCTGTATGATTGAAGAGAGGAAGCACCTTGTTGATAGGAGGAAGCTTCATCTTGAGCAAGAGAGGTAAGTACTTTGCATGAAGAGAGGAAGTACTGGTTGAGAAGAGAGGAAGCTTGCATGTGGATGGCATGATGGAGTGAGGAAAAGAGTCTTGATGGAGTGAGGAAGCATCTTGATGAAGAGAGGAAGCACCCTTGATGATATGTTAGAGGACAGTACTTAGTTGAAGGGAAAGAGGAAGTACTTTGAGAGAGAGGAGCATCTTGTGAAGAGAGGAAGGCACCTTGATGAAGAGAGGAAGCACCTATTGATGAAGAGAGGATAGTACTTTGTTGATAAGGAGAGGAAGTACTTTGAAGAAGAGAGGAAGCACTTGATGAAGAGAGGAAGTACTTTGTTGAAGAGAGAGTCATCCTTTATGAAGAGAGGAAGCACTTTGTTAAGAGAGGAAGCATCTAATGAAGAGAGGAGTACTTTGTTGGGAGAGAGGAGCATCGTGATGAAGAAGGAACATACTTTGTTGAAGAGTAGGAAGCATCTTGATGGAAGAGAGAAGCACTTTGTTGAAGAGAGGAAGCATCTTGATGAAGAGAGGAAAAGCACCTTTCTCCGAAGAAGAGGAAGCACCTTGATGATAAGAGAGGAAGTACTTTGTTTGAATTTAGAGGAAGTACTTTGAAGAAGATAGGAAGCATCTTTGATGAAGAGAAGGAAGCACCTTGATTTGAGAGAGGACAGCACTTTGTTGAAGAGAGCGAAAGCATCTTGAGAAGAGAGGAAGCACTTTGTGATAGATAGCGGAAGCAATCTTGATGAAGTATCCCGAGGAAGTACTTTGTTGAAGGAGAGGGAAGTACTTTGGAAGAGAGAGGAAGATCTTGAATGAAGAGATGAAAGCACCTTGATGAAGAGAGGAAAGCACTTTGTTTGAAGAGAGGAAGGCTGTATTGATGCAAGAGTGTGAGGAAGCAACCTTGTTGAAGAGAGGAAGCTGCATCTTTGAGGCAAGAGAGGAAGTACTTTGATGAAGTAGAGGAAGCTGCATGATGGATGCATGATGGAGTGAGGAAAGCATTCTTAGATTGAGTGAGGAAAGCATCTTGATGAAGAGAGGAAGCCACCTTGAATGAAGAGAGGAGTTACTTTGGAGGAGATCAGTACTTGATAGAAGAGAGGAAGGCTACCTTGATGAAGAGAGGAAGCATCCTGATTTGATAGAGAGGAAGCACTTTTGTCTGAAGAGAGGAAGCATCTTTGATGAGAGAGAAGCACTTTGTTGAAGAGAGGAAGCATTCTTAATGAGAAGAGGAAGTTACTGTTGTTGAAGAGAGGAAGCAATCTTGATGGAGAGAGGAAGTACTTTTGAAGAAGTTGAGGAAAGCATTTGCATGAAGTGAGAGGAAGCATCTTTGATTGAAGAGGATAGGAAGCAGCCTTTTGATGAAGAGAGGAAGCACCTTTGTTGGAGAGAGGAAGCATCTTTGATGAAGAGAGAAGCACTTTGTTGAAGAGAGGAAGCATTTCCTTAATGAGAGAGAAGTACTTTGTGAAGAAGTAGGAAGCATCTTGATGAAGAGAGGAAGTACTTTGTTGAAGAGAGGAAGCCATTCTTGATGAAGAAGGAAGCACTTTGTTGAA